TTTTATTAAAGATTAAAATGTTGGAGATCATTTTGCCGGACCCTGTATAAGTTATAATAAATTATAGTAATAGTGTACCTCTCCTATTAATCCGGAATAGTATAAATCATGTTAAAACGCAACAGTTTACGAGATATTTAATTTTTTATTACGATTTTTCATGCATATTATATAATATACCTCTTCTTCATAAGAGTAGCAAGAATAGTTCAGTAGAAGTAGAATTTTACCGGAAAAAAATTATAAACCAGCATTTCTCTTCACGGAAGTCTCGAAAAGCCATCCAAAAAAGAAATGTGTATATTTGAGAGTCGAGACTTGTGAACAAAAAAAAACGAAAAAAAATCGAATAGTTGCAAAAAGCACGTTTTTCGTTTATAACATGAAAGATATTGATTGTATGGAAAAAAATTCGATATAAAAAATGTAGATATTCGAAATATTTACAAAATGAGACATGGAATATTAAAATCGATTTATTAGATTCAGTAGAAAAAAAAATAAAAAACACCGAAAAAGATTTTCTTACTCGCTCTCTATTCATTGAGATTTAAATGCAAAGCTTTGAAATTCTTTTTCGTAAAATGTAGCCCTCGTAATGATGAACAAATTTAGCCCTGAACAAGTCTGAAATGTTCATTAGTTTTTGCAAAAAGCTATTTGTTCATTAAAAACCTGTCTGCGGAAAACTTAATTTCTTCATCTTTGACCAGTCGCACAGTAATTTACAGAGGATAATTTTTCTTCTTCAAAAGTTGCACTATCACGTACATTTAATAACAAAATGATTTTTTGCAGTTAAACTATTATAAAATTTTAAAAAGTGGGTATCTTTTTGTGTATAAAAAAATAGAAATAATTTCGTTAATATGCATCATATCAAATAGTGTGAAGCATTCGAAAGTTGACATTTTTCTACGAATTTAAAAAAAAAAGATTACCTTTCGATTATTTGAGCTGAGATAACAATTTTTTTTACAAAAAATCACTATGGCTCTAGTTTTTAAGATTAAGAGTTCCATCTAGCACCAATTTATCAAGGGAGAATTGAATTTGCTGTTAAAAAAATCTCGAATTGTAATCATCAAATTTTTAGTTTAGAAAATTTTTTCTTTCTTGAATTTTTATTTTTTCGATTTATAATTACTAAAAAAAATCACGTTTGAGTATGGAACGCATGTTTGATTAATAAATTTAAGTCACATTAGCTATGTTTCTTTATTTAATATGTAAAAAGTGTTCAATTGGACAATTAAATATATGGGATTATCAGTACAAAATTGTTTTTGTGAATTTAATTGCAGATGTAAATATGACATATGTAAATAAATAATTAATAAGCAATTTGTCTGTTAAAGATGTAACACCAACTTTCTCAAATACAAAAGTAAATTAATGTTATTAGGTGTTGGAATTAATTCGTAGCGTTTTTTTAATGAAAGAATATTATTTATTTCACATGAGCATTAAAAAATACATTAATGAAAGTACTTCCCATCACTTCCCATCTCTTGTAAAACGCTACGAATTAATTCCAACACCTAATACATGAAAAATATATTTTGCAACTATATTCAACAATTATACTAACATTTGACAAATTATTTATTATTTGTTTACATATATCATATTTGCATCTGCAATTAAATTCACAAAAACAACTTTGTACTGATAATTCAGTACATTTAATTATCCAATTGAACACTTTTTATAGCATGTTAAATAAAGAAACATAGCTAATATGATTTAAATTTGTTAATCAGACATGCGTTCCATACTTAAACATGATTTTTTAGTAATAAAAAATAAAAATTCAAGAAACAAAAAATTAAAAATTTCACGATTACAATTACTTTGCGAAACATTTGGTTAAGCAATTTGTTTATATCTCGTCGAGCTACCCCAGATTAAAAAAGAAATCAGGTTTCCACATCAATTTATTGCTGAGAAAATGTAAATTTAGCAATTTTAATCATAAAATCAAATACGAGCGAATCGTCGAGCGGACCGATTTTCCTCACTCGACTGTGCGCCGGCTTCCTTTATTCCGTGCATTGTCTCGCTTGCGTTTTTCAACTTTCCAATGGTTTTAAACAAATTTTTTCGGCAGCAAAAAATTCAAGAATTTTTTTGCTGCCGAACAGCAAATTCAATTCTTCCTTAAGAAATTGATGCAAGATGGAACTCTTAATCTTAAAAACTAGAGCCACATTGATTTTTTGAAAAAAAATTAACTCGGCTTCTAATAATCGGAGAGTAATTTTTTTTTAAATTCGTAGAAAAATGTCAGATTTTGAATGCTCCATGGCTATTTGATATGATGCACATTAACGAAATTATTTCCATTTTTTTATACGGTAAAAGATACTTTTTAAAGGCGTTTTAAGTAGTTTAATTGCAAAAAATCATTTTCTTATTAAGTATACGTGATAGTGCAATTCTTGAAGAAGAAAAATTACCTCTGTATATTGCTTAGCGACTGGTCAAAGATAAAGAAATTAAGTTTTTCGCAGACAGGTTTTTAGTGAACAAATGACTTTTTGGAAAAACTAATGAACATTTCAGGCTTGTTAGGACTAGATTTGTTCGTCATTACGAGGGCTATTTTATGAGAATTTTAAAGCTTTGCGTTTAAATCTCCATGAACAGAGAGCGAGTAAGAAAATTTTTTTCAGTGTTTTTTATTTTTTTTTCTACTGAATTAATAAATCGATTTTAATGTTCCATATCTCATTTTGTAGGTATTTCGAATACCTACATTTTTTATACCGAATTTTTTCCATACAATCAATATTTTTCGTTTTATAAGCGAAAAACGTGCTTTTTGCATTCGATTTTTTTTCGCACATTTTCTTCACAAGTCTCGAGTCTCAAATATACGCATTTCTTTTCTAATGACTTTTCAAGACTTTCGTCTTTTTCGAAAAGAAATGCTGATTTATAATTTTTTTCCGGTAAAATTCTACTTTTACTGAACTATTCTTGCTACTCGAGTTTATGAAGGAGAGATACTATATAACGCGCATGAAAAATCGTAAACAATTAAATTTCTCGTAAACTGTTGCGTTTTAACATGATTTATTCTGGATTAAGGGGAGTACATTATTACTACAATTTATTATAATTTATATGATATTTAGGATGCCCTCCTTTCCGTCCTTTATTGATGCCTAGGGCCGCCGAGCGGCCGAGTTTGCCGAAAAAGCATTTTCGGTTGCTTGAAACAAGCGACTAGTGTGAAACAAGATGACGGTCGCTGTCTCGTTCACTCTCGGCGCGCCGCAGGCGAGCACACAGCCTCGTGCTTCTTTGTGTGTTACAGCACCGCACTACGATAAATGGCCGAACTTATAGGCGTGGAAAAGTAACATTTTGACGATGAAATTTATGTTGCCTGTCATTTCGTTATTATATGTTTAATTGTGAAAATGTGACTTGTATTTATCAAAGTCGTAATTATCGTTAAAAACTAAAGTTATTTTGAAATTTTATATGCAAAAGCATATATTTTACTCGTTTTAACAGCTGTTGGGCCGTATGTTTCTGCCCGAATATAGGCTCACTTTATATGCTTTTTATGACCATTTACTGACTGTCAAGAGAACAAAGGACAGTTTTCATTTGATTTTTACAAGTGTTTTAAAGTAATCATTTCATCATGTCATTTCGTTTCATCCAAATTGTCTTTATTTAAAAATGCCACGCAACATGAATTAACGTGTCATTCCTTGCTTCTGATGTCACGATTCCAACATGGCCGCCGCGACTAGTCAGGAGCCTTAATTCAAAATGGTTTTGATATTTTCTGAATGATGCTAGCAGACTTTTTATGTATTCATAGCGTGTTGTTCGATAATCTTCTCGTTCTATCTGCCAAAATCAAAGCGTGCACATGTAATCTGTCTATAACATCCAATAAATCATTTATATTCTCTATTTTAACCAACTAACAAATTAATAGAACGTTTAACCTGTTGACTGACAGACTGACTAATCGTGGAGGAAATTTATAGTACATGACATGATATCATTTTGAAAAAAAATCTTCAGTCCAAGTGTAGTATCACATGCAAAAGTATAATGCCTCAGTTAAAGATTCATACCTCAGCCAAAAATATACAAAAAAATGTGGTGTTCGAAAAATTTCATGAAGAAATCTCAGTATTTTATGTGTTATGCTTACATCATCAACGCTTTATATTATCGGGAAAAATACAATGCCTCGAACAAAAGTATATTGTTTTGATCAAAAAGTATCAGAAGACGTCGATTGCAATGTTACTACAAGTTTCTGTGTTGTATGTATAAAACTGTGTTGTTCAATAAAAACGGAATATATTTTGAACATAACTTATATCTATATACACACAATATATATATATATATATATATATATATAATGTGTGTGTGTGTGTGTGTATATATATATATATATAGTCTGTTTAAAGTATAAATATTAATACGTTTGTAAAAATTACACCCATATATTAAATTAACATTCAAATGTACTAAAAATTCTGTATAACTATTCTATCATTAGACAAACCGGTCCAAATATATGCGTTATCTACATTTATTATACCGATCCGATCTATACAGAAACCATGGAAGCATATTTTTTTCAAAAATTAACATTTACGATATATTAAATTAATACATATTTAATTCGTCTTAGAATTTACATTTTAAAACAAATTATTTTTATGTTACTTGTTCACTTATTCATAAATTGTGTCATTTTGATTAATAATAAACGTTGAATGTCAAATCAAAATCAGCAAATTCAACAAAATCTTTAAATGACATAATCGCATTATGTTGAATTAACACTTGAATGTTATAAAAAATTTAACACAAACAACAACGTGAATCGTTTCCAACACAAATATATAATTTTTTATTGCGTACAGAAGAAATCAATTTGGCGTGAAGATGTCAAATTTATGAAAGCAACTGATTGTAGTGTATCTGTGAAGAAAAAATACTTGTATTTGTTGCAGATACTACATGGCTACTTCGGAACGCGAGTCGGCAGTACAGCATTTGTACAGAGTATCACTGGACCCAGGATACAAGTCGACCTGTTTGACTTGTAACATTGTCAGAGAGAGTGATGGTAGCCGCTGTTTGTACAACAGTGCTAAATTCTCCATTGACAATTCGCATTACGTGCTTACTTGTGCTGGGCCTGGAGTACCCGATATAGCTATCTACAATAAGGTACGCATATCTGATGCTTTAATATTTTATAGCTTGCTAAAACTCGTAAACTATTTTAAAATTTGAAAAAGTGTTTTATTTAAATTAAAAGAATTTAAAGAAAGTTTTGTTAAAATGTAAAAATAAGATTTTTATATTACCGGTTATTCAATTGGTAACAAATAGATGATTATGAAAACAGATTCGATGAATTTAATTAATAAAAAAGATATAAATCTTTGGAGTTAGCAGCGATGAGTAATTATTATTCGAAACACACAGAATAATATATTATTATTTTTCGATTAAATATAGATACGTGATAGGTTATATACATAAAAACTTCAGAATGGCATAGAATACAATTATGCATTACATGATTTGCGTAGGTTACGCATAAATTCCAATTTTTGAGACAATTAATATCCAAAATTCAAAATAATAATATAATACATAATTCGTAAAATTTGAATCTTTAATTTCATCGAAAGGAAACGTAACAGATATCTCATATATTTCTCTCGTACTAATTCCAGCTTTGAGTGTCATTACTGCATAGCATGTTTGATAGATTTCATCAAACATTACATTGTATGCGGTCCGAATTTCTACAAATTTAGATCTCTTTCGAATAGAATGAGAGAGAGAGAGAGAGAGAGAGAGAGAGAGAGAGAGAGAGAGAGAGAGGAAGGAGGGAAGAAAGGAGGGAGGGAGAAAGGGGGAGAGAGAGAGCAAGAGGAAGGGGGGAGTTATGCATATATTATGTAAAACTCCTTTTGCTCCGTACGTTGCATTACCAATCACATTACTATATATCCGGGACCGCAAACAATGATCTTTCGTATCGCACGCACGCATTTATATACTATATAGACATATGGATGACAGCTGTGTAATTCTGCTAGTGAGAGGTACACGAACCGCGGTGGGCCGCTATCAGACAACCAAATTGTATAAATTTTGTTACAGCAATAGAATATGCGCGTAGTAGGTACTATTCGCCCACAGTTTAGTCCCAGCACGCTGCACTGCGAGTAATATACGAGCGATGGTCTGCTCTTGTTGCACCGGTGCAGTGGCAACGGCATAACAAAGCTCGATCCGAAATATCACGTGCACAAAACACATTGCGCCCGCTCTGCCTAATCAGATCGAAATCACGCTGCGACAGATTATCGCGACATTGTTGGCGACCTCGTAAAAAACACAATACATTCGAAGCAATGTGACTGCACGTAATTGCACGCGGCATTAAGCCGCGAGTGCTGTCTGTAAATCTGTATTATTTTTGAATCCGTAGAAGGAGAATAATTAAACACTAAACTAAAATTTATTTCAACGCATGTGTCAATCGCGTCATGTATGTTGATAGTGTAATTAAAAATTTTATAGTAATTAAATGGTGAAAATGAAAAATCAAAGTGAAAAATGTGGACTTTTATTATGATTAAATTGTTGGTTATCGAAAAAACTGAGCTGCAACCATATTTTGAAGTGGCGATGTTGCAAAACTGTCCAAATTTTGTCTCGGTCATCATTGTTTAATGTATTGCAATCGTATCAACATATATCTGCAATCGTTTCAACACGGTCACGTTTTGTATCAATTCCCAATTTCACTACGTAAATAAAACATGTTGAGAGAAATCAACAACGGTTGCTGGCTGAAATCGACGATTCAGAAGCGTCGCGTATAAATTTAATAACTTACAAAGTGAACAATGCTACAAAATGAAATAAAATTTGTCACTCATAGTCTTTAGTACAACTTGTCGAAAAAAAGTTCAACGCCAGTTTTGAGTTAGATAACTTAACAGATAACTTAATCATTTAACATTACTTTAAATCCGAAGCGCTACTACGGTCTAAGTATTAAGATGTTGAACTAATATATATATTTTTCAAACGAATGAATTAATTTCAGAAATGATAATTACGTGTCGATATGGTGGTCGACATTAACGCAATTGATCTGAAATGTTAATAATCCCCCCAAAATTCCCCAAATTAATCTTAATTAATCTTTGGAAATTAATTTATTTGTTTGAAAAATATATATATTAGTTCAACATCTTAATACTTAGACCGTAGTGGCGCTTCGGATTTAAAGTAATGTTATTTAACATAAACGGTCTTGTTTCCTATCTTATTGTTAATCATTTAAATTTCTAACGAATTGTCCATTTAAATTTAAATTATTAGAAATACTGTTTGAATGATATTAAAATTAGAGAAGATGATTGTTGAAAATATTCTGTAAAAACTGAATAAATAAAATAGAATTTGTATCATCTATTTCTTTTTAATAAATAAAATCTAAAAATCTACAATCACAAATCTAAAAATTACTTAGTCATAATTTTTCTATTTATAAAGCATTGCTGTGATATGCAATCAGAATACAATTAAGATATATTAAGATAATATCATTGTTTTTATAGTGATATTTTTGATAACGTTTGCATTAAAAACATGATGGTAATAATGTCATGTAAAGTGAAATTAATAATTACGCATGTTTATGTCAATACATATTACAATATATATTACTATTTAATAAGTTTTAACCTCTATATATTGAGATAGCTTGAAATTGTTACATTGTTGGTTTCTACGAGATGAATAATATCGATGAAAATCTATATTTAATGAAATATCAAAATATGTATATTTTTAATATTAAAAAGTCTTAATTGGAAAATCTAACTTGTCGGAATTCCGATAATTTTATATCGCACGTGATTTTAATCGCAATTTAAACTGCTTCTGTCTCTTTCCGAATTATAGCATTCAATATATTATCAACATAAAGCATATTTAATTAATTAGTGGGTTATTATTAATTATTAATAATTTATTAGTTAACGATGATTAACGGTGAAATTGTGGTTGTTATTCGTACGTAGATATAAAACGTTAACGAGTCTTTCGACAAAAAAAAGATAAGTTAAAAAACTAAGTAAAACCTATTTGTATTTCTATATTTGATGAAATATCAAAATATGTATATTTTTAATATTAAAAAGTCTTAATTGGAAAATCTAACTTGTCGGAATTCCGATAATTTTATATCGCACGTGATTTTAATCGCAATTTAAACTGCTTCTGTCTCTTTCCGAATTATAGCATTCAATATATTATCAACATAAAGCATATTTAATTAATTAGTAGGTTATTATTAATTATTAATAATTTATTAATTAACGATGATTAACGGTGAAATTGTGGTTGTTATTCATACGTAGATATAAAACTTGATTATCTCATATTAGCACAAACACATAAGTATTTACTCTTCACTCTGACATTATGACTTTTAATTACTACGTTTTGAACTTTAACAAAAACATATTTATGTAGTAGAGGATATGTTAGCGCGCGTATGTATACTACATAACACGTTTAAAAAAAAATAATAACAATAAATATTTTATGGAAAAGATTCATAAATGAGAATGAAATGTATATATATATATTGAGGAAAGGCCCCTATTATGAGATACCGAGTTCATTTTGGGTAAATGCTAGAAGTCTATAGGCAGAATTTTAAAAAATAATAGGTCATTTAAAAGGAATTTAATAAGTTTTAAGATAACGTTACATAAAATTCCATTGAAAATGGAATTCCGTTACATAGAATTCCACATGAATTTAATTCAAATGCCATTTTTTTTAAATTAAAGAAATGTAAAAAGTGGGCAAATCACAAAGTCAAAAAATTGTGCTCCTAATATGAAATGCCCCGAGAAATCAATAGTAAATGCAAAGTATAATATAAGTATTGCAATTAAAAAACTTTATTTCATGTTTCTAGAATATAAACAAACACAGCGTGTGCGAAAAATGAGCATGCGATAGATTATATCCAGAACTCGTTTTTAGGTAGTTAGAATCAAGCATCGCAGATATAGGCACTCGACTCATCAGTTGTCTTTTTTATTATATAATAACACTTATACTTTAGCAATGATTTCCACTATAATATAGGAGCATGGGTTATTTCATATTAGGAATATCTCTGGATATCTCATATTACGATTTCCATGTCCTATGATTTTATGATCATCAAATAAATCTAACTTCTGTAATTAAACAACATTCAACATATCCCATATTTTTCTATTAATACTCTACTAGACCTTACTCTATCACTACATGAAGAATTTATTGCCAAATATTTATTTATTAAATAATAAACAAGATTTAAATGCTCATCTCAATGAAACTCGAAGACATCCAAATTTTAAAATCTTTTTTTACAATGACTACAAGCATGATCTAATAATGAATTTTCTATTAAATAGTTTTCAATCCAAGAGCAATAAATTCATGATGGAATCAAGAAATAGCGTTTATTAATTTAGCAGAAACGCCGCTATCTCATATTAAGCGCCTATCTTATAATTGAGAGCTTTTCTCTATACATTTCGTTCTTATTTATGAATCTTTTCCGTGAAATATTTATTGTTATTTTTTTAAGTGCTATATTCGGTAAATATCTAGTTTAGGTAACATTTCACCGATTTCAATGTCTTAGATATGTTCTGGGAGAGAATGTCCTGATTCCTCACAAGAATTAAGTGGGGGATGGCATTGATATAGAAGATATAATAAATTAAAGTTTTATAATGAAGTCATAATATATGGCTTTTTACGCGAAGCGATTTCTACCCTACCTCTCTATTTCGAGGTTCACGAGGTGACTTTCCAAAAAAATATGATAAAGCTCGGAAAGTCGTGCGCCCCGAGACAGGGGCGGTTGGATGAAAGTTTCATTACTTTCGATAATCAAATTCCTTTGTTGACTTTTCACAACGACAGACGGGTCGGAACACCAACATAAATTGCCGGAACGAGAAAAGGGAGAACATAATGGTGAATTGTTCACATATAAAGGAGATCTAAATCAGCAAATTTATATTATAGTAATAATTGATCTCCACTGAAATAAAAATTCATGTACCACATATTTTCTATTCATATTAAAAGTTAAAATAGATTATAGATTCATACTTGCCTCT